ATTAAGGTCAGGTCAGGAGTATGGTCTTCATGATCATCCTGCTACTGGTAACATGTAACCCAGTGCAACCTGTTCCATGTTCTGCTGCCTTGCAGGACTTGCTATCTAAGCAAAGGCTGGAAGGAGTGTTCTTCCTGTCATCAGTACTATCTTATATCAGTCATGCCTATAGTAATTTTTTTTTTTTCCATATAGTTAGAGGTGCTTTAGTTACTGTATTAGCTCACCTGTAATCTACGTTATATGTATGTTTGTGTTCTGTCTGAACCTCTGGCGTGGTGCTCGCTCACCCGTAAGTTACTTTATGTTTATGTTTATGTTTTTTATGTTTTTTTATGTATGTTTGTGTTCTGTTTATACTCTAATGCAGTGTGAGCTCAGTAACTAACTACTTACTCCAACTACAAAACCTACACTCACCTTAGACTCCTGTATTTTGTTAGATGCAGTGTTTTTCCTAATGCACTTCCAAAATGTCATGCCTGGTTTTCTCAAAGTACTGTTGCGGGAAGTAACTCCTTTTAACTACTCCAGGTCAGGTCAGGATAATCGAGATCAATCTTGCTAATGGTATCACGCAACCCAGTACCACCTGCCACAAGCCCTGCTGCCTTGCAGAGTGTGCTCTTCTTATGCAAAGGCTAGGAGAAATAAACTCCGACTAAAAATTCCCCTGCCTTAGGGCACTTTGTTGAGTAAAGGGTAGAGATGGTGTCTTGATAAAAACACTCATCTTGGGCAGATGTTAACTGCATCCAGCTAAACATCCCCTGCCTTGGGGCTCTTGGTTGAGTAAAGGCTAGAGATAGTGTCTCGATAGAAATACTCATCTAGGGCAGATGTTAACTGCATCCTGCTACTGTCTTGTAGAAGGCCTCCTAGGCAAAGACTTTAGGGGTAAGCAGAAAAATTCTGCTAACCAGCCTCGAACCCCTTCTTCATCTATTAGGCTGGCGTAGATGTAACCTGTGTTACATTGTTTCCTGCCTAGGATGATGAATGCTGGATCTCCTTGACTCTACTCATAGAATTTTGCTTATGCCTCCTTGATAATGGCTATGCAACTCTTCCTGTTATCTCCATATGAGGGTACAGCTCCAAAACTCAGATTAATGGTTCTGAGGCCGGCTGGTAGTAAGGTTTCCCGAACTCTGTGGTAGCTCTCAGAGAGGCTGATTCCATCAACAGCTGCAAAATATCAGAGTATTAACAGTGCCATGTTGCGCATGGATGGTGTCCCTGTTAATGCTTTTGGTGTGCATTGTCAAGGCCACATAAGGAGCCCTATGTCACGGCTTAGGATTAATTAACAGGACTGAGACAACTGCATAGCTCATTGATTAGGAGGCTGTGCTCTATCTATGAATGAGTCAAGTTCTCATTAAACCCAAATCATGACCAAAGTAACCAAAAATTTAAAACCTAAAAAACCATCCTCACCACCTAAATATTTTAATATATCTTTTACAAATATTCGCGGTCTACGAAGCAACTTTCCATCAGTTGAGTCTTACCTCCTGCAAAATTCACCAGACTTGCTTGCACTCAGTGAAACAAATTTAAGTTCTGCAATTCCTTCTTCAGATGTCAGTGTTGATGGGTACTATCCTTTGATTCATAAAGACTCCAATAGTCACATGCTAGGTTTAGGGGTATACATACGCATTAATTCCCCTATTTATCGTGAAATCAGGTTCGAATCCTTTGACCATTCTTTTATGTGCTTTCGCCTAGCACCTCTTCACTCTATCACCTTTCTCTTTGTTCTTTATCGTTCTCCTTCTTCCCACGATTGCACTCTTTTAGATGATTTTCACACTGAATGGCTTGGCTCTAACACCACTGATCCTGCTGGCACTAAAGCCTTAAACTTCTGCGTTTCTCAATCTCTTACTCAGATAGTTAACTTTGTGACTTGTTTTCCTGACAACCCTAATCATTTACCTTCACTCCTTGACTTATGTCTTGTCTCTGACCCTAGCTTATGTTCAGTTTCTCCCTTTTCTCCCTTAGGTGGTTCTGACCATGCAATGATCTCTATAAATCTTTCTTCTCGTACTTCTTTTTTGGGCTCACCTTATCATCGCACCACCTACTACTACCCTAAAGCTGACTGGGATTCCTTTCGTGATTTTCTTCGTGATGGTCCTTGGGCTGATGTTTTTTCTCTCTCAGCTGACAAATGCGCCTAATATGTAACCTCCTGGATTCAGGCTGGAATGGAAGCTTTTATTCCTTCTTGTCGGTTTCAAGTCAAGCCTCATTCTACTCCATGGTTTTCTCCTTCTTGTGCAGCTGCTATATCCAATCGTAATCATTTTTTTCATCTTTTTCAAAAGAACAACTCTCTTGAGAACAAACGGCTATTTACTATTGCAAGAAATCGATGTAAAAAGGTGCTTTCTGATGCTAAACTCCATTATTCTCAGTTCACTAAATCTCGCATCTTATCGCAGAAGTTAGGCTCTAAAGACTTTTAGAAAATCTTCAACAGCATTATTAACAAGGGTGGATCTAACATTCCATCTCTCATTCATGGGACTGGTCTTATTATCTCTCCCAAGGATAAGGCAGAACTATTTGCAAAGAACTTTTCTTCTAATTCCATTCTTGAATCTTATGGACATTCTCTTCCTTCCATTCCAGTCAAACAGGTTGACCCATTGTTAGACATTCAAATCACTCCGGCTTCTGTTGCTAAAGTCATATCTCAATTAAACTCGTCTACAGCTTGTGGTCCAGACAACATTCCTGTCACAGTCTTGCAGAATTGTTCTCCAGAACTTTCTTCAATTCTCTCTAAACTACTTAACAAGTGTTTGACTGAGTCTTGTTTTCCTGCTTGTTGGAAAATGGCATCTGTGGTTCCAATATTCAAAAACTCTGGAGAAAATTCTGACCCCTCCAATTATCGTCCGATCAGTCTTCTTTCTGTTATTAGCAAGGTCTTTGAGTCTTTGATCAACAAATTCCTCACATCTCATCTTGAGTCAAATAAACTGCTGTCAGACAATCAATAGAGTTTTCGATCCTCTCACTCTACGGCCGACTTGCTAACTGCTGTAACTGAAAGATTTTATCGTGCATTAGATGGAGGCCGTGAGGCTAGGGCTATTGCTCTCGACATATCTAAAGCTTTCGACAAAGTTTGGCATGCTGGTCTTCTCCATAAGCTTGCTTCATATGGTGTTTCTGGGAAAGTTTTTGAGATTTATCAAATCATTTTTTTCTAACCGATTTATTAAAGTCATCCTTCAAGGCCAACACTCTTCTTTATTTCCAGTAACTTCTGGGGTTCCCCAAGGTTCCATCTTGGGCCCTGTTTTGTTTCTTATCTACATAAACGATCTTCCTGACAACCTTTCATCTAAAGTAGCTCTTTTTGCTGATGACTTAACTTTATACTCCTGTCTTGACAAAAAGTCTTCTCTTTTCGATCGCCTAGAACAAGCAGCTGATCTTGAATCTGATCTCACTTCAGTAATAGATTGGGGTTCACAGTGGCTTGTGAATTTCAACTCTAAAAAAACCCAATTGCTTACTGCAAACAACTACAGTAATATGGTCAACATTCCTGTATTAATGAATGGCAATCCTCTTACTGAGTCCTCCTCTTTACGTCTTCTTGGATTATCGCTTACTACTGACCTTTCATGGAAACCATATATACAATCGATTGCTAAATTAGCTTCTGCTAAGGTTGCTTCTCTTTATCGTGCTCGCCATTTCCTTACTTCTGATTCCATTCTCTACCTCTACAAATCTCTTATTCGTCCCTGTATGGAATACTGTTGTCATATTTGGGCTGGTTCTTCTAACGATTCACTTTTTCTTCTTGACAAGGTCCAAAAACGCATTGTAAATGTTGTTGGACCTGGACTATCTGCTAAGCTTGAACCTCTTTCCCATCGTCGTAAAGTTGCATCTCTTTCTCTTTTCTACAAATACTATCATGGTCACTGCTCAAAGGAGTTATCATCTCTAGTTCCATCAACTAAAATTCATTCTTGTTTTACTCGTCATTCAGCTAAGTCTCATTCGTTTACTGTATCTGTCCCTGCATGCTCTAAAAACTTTTATTTATCTAGTTTTTTTCCCTGCACTTCAATCCTTTGGAACTCTCTCCCATCTTCATGTTTTCCTGACTGATACAACCTTCAACTTTTCAAGTCTTCTGTCAACCGTTTCCTTGCTCTATAACTCTGTTCTTTTTTTTTCCTAGTAACTCCCAACTTAATAGTGGTTGCTTGCAGCCTTGTTGGGAGTGAATGCAAATTAAAAAAAAAAAAAAAAAATTTTTTGCTATCCTCTTAAAAAAAAAATTAAGAAAAATCATTCTTTTTATTGTAGACTTTATCTAATTTTGTTGCTGAATGTAATTCTAAAGAAAAAAAAAAAAAAAAAAAAAACAGTACACAAATTATTTAAATTATTAATTTGTTTTTTTTTTTTCTATTTTAATCTCTTTTTATTTTGTTAGTATTGTTTTTTTGTTTTTAAAACTTTTTCAGCATTCTTATAAAACTTGCAAACGGCCGTGTTCACGTTTTCTAAAATATTTTAATTGTGTGTGGTCATAAAATACAGAAATTGGAACAAAAATATACAATAAATATTAAAAAAGCAGATATCAAACCTCATACCTCTTTGAAATGTTTTGAAAACTCAAAAAGTGTGCATAATAATTGTAGTGCGTAATAATTTTATATTATTTTATATGAGTAATAAATAAAATAATAAAAAAAAAAAAGCAGTTTACAGTGTAGTTTGCACAAGAATTTTTTAATGATATTAATGGGAAAAAAAAAAAAAAGAAATAATATTTATGAAAAAAATATACTTTTGCAAGAGCCCTAAATTGCGCACATAAAACATACTATTTAATATACTTAATTCAATATATTTGTATTATCAAAAAAATGCTTTTACAATAATTTTAACTACTCATAAAGATTTCATTTTTCAAATATTTTAATTTATATAGTAAAACAACAACAAACCTCATCTTTTTTTTTAATTTCATCAATTAAGCTTTGATCATAAAACTGGAAAGAGAGATCAGAATACTTATTAAATGAAAAATCAATGCCATCCACTTTATCAAGAGAATCGCCATTAGAATTTGCAATATGACCTTTAATTAGAAAAAAATAAAAAACAGAGAATATAAATACTAACACAACCAAAACCCAATATAACTTAAAAATATTTTTTTATAAACATACCATAAATCTTGCCATTGATTGAACATTTTTTAAACTCCATGATATTTTGTGTTAGTGTTCCGGTCTAATAATGTAAAGGCTGAATATTTATGCTCTACTATCATTAAAATATAAAACAATAACTTTTTCTTATTAATTATGTAAAAGTATAAAATAATGATGTGCTGTGTGTTTATAAAAGAATATTGCAAACATTTCTAGAAAAAAAACTTAAATTTATGTTATGTGAACATTTCTATTTAATTAATAATTTATAAAGCAGTACACTCCGAACCGTTTCTTTTTACAGTATAAATTTAAGTTTATTTAATTAATTATATTTTGAAAATAATAACTTACACTTTAGCTGACTCCAAGGATATAGGCAATTTTTTAAAATACAAATTCACTTTCTCAAGGCCTAAGGGGCCACTTTAGTCTAGGCAATTCAATTTAATTTTTTTTTTCTTAATTGTTCAAAAAATTCATTGATTTAATTTTGAAATAATTGCTGTAAAATGATATTTTTACACTAACCAAACTATATCCTTGAAAGTGATTGATTCTGTGATTCTTGTGCTAGTGAAAATGTTCTAATAAAAGTTATGCTAAATTTACCACACTTTTTTTTAATTATTATTTGAATAAAAAGTATGCTGTAACAACTTCCAATAACCAACTAAAACGATTTCCTTGTTTTATTTTTTTAAATTTAACCATAAAATTGTTTTAAATCTATTAAACTTAGACACTACTTATAAAACTGATATGGGACCACATGGTCAAAGGTTGATCACATGGTCATAATCAATGGGCTTCGGTTTGTGATGATAATTATGATAAAGTTAATTGTTAAATTATTCAAAAGTAAAATTTTACAAAAGATAAAAGTTTTCCAACTTTCCAAATTTTTACAATGGCTCATAAACATAAATAATATAAAAAATTAAAAAAATCAAAATGTAATATATATATATATATATATATATGTATATATATATATATATATATATATATATATATATATATATATATATATATATATATATATACATATATATATATATATATGTATATATATGTATATATATATATATATATATATATATATATATATATATATATATATATATATATATATATATGTATATATATATATATGTATATATATATATATATATATATATATATATATATATATATATATATATATATATATATATATATATATATATATGTATATATATATATGTATATATATATATATATATATATATATATATATATATATATATATATATATATATATATATATATATATATATATATATATATATATATATATATATACGTGACCCTGCTCATGGCTTTGAGGAGGTGAATTAACATAATATATATATATATATATATATATATATACATATACACATATGAAACATAAAAAATATACAAAATAATGTAAATAAAAAATCATACCTTATCAGAAAAAATGTATTCTATTTGACCCAGCTCTTCTGTTAAGGTAGTATTTCTTATAAAAAAAACTTTTTTAGTTAACCACCATGCTTTTCAATTATTATATAAAAGCATATTTAAATAAATATAAATTATACCAACATATTTGAACACAAGTATATAAGAAACAACATATAAAGCATAACATACCCAAAACGACATAGCTACCAATACATTATGACATACCTAGCAATTGCAGGTGTGTCAGTACCTTCATCATAGAGTTCAACATCATTACTTATAAGAAGACTTTGTCCCAAACGAATTAACTCAACACTAAAAAGTAATTTTGATGAAATAACTTTAAAAGCCATATCAATTTTAAAAAGCCAAAATAAAAAAAAATAAAAAATAAAATTATTAACAAAAGCAAAACAAAAGATCTAGAGGATACAAGTTTTTTATAAGATTTTAAAACACAAATGTTTTAGCAAAAAAAATTTCAGGATATTTTTTTTTTTAATGTTAAGTAACTTCCCCGGCCACAGTCGAGGAGGCTATTATAACTGATAATACAACCCTCTCTTTTTTTTTCCCTCTCCTGATTGTCTCATTAAATTGAACTAACAAGATTTAAAAGGCATTTAATCGATTAGATAAAATTAGATATATTATTCAATAAAGTAAAATGAAAAACCAGTTACGAAACATAAAAAATATATAATTAGCAATTATATATATATATATATATATATATATATATATATATATATATATATATATATATATATATATATATACATATATACATATATATATATATATATATATATATATATATATATATATATATATATATATATATATATATATATATATATATATATATATATATATATATATATATATATATATAGGCTTCGGCAGGAATAAAAACCGTACGGGCTATGAAAAGCCCGTCTTAAATAGACTTGGCGGGCTGTGAGGGCCGCCCGTCTAGATGGTCTTGCACGGGCTTTTTTAAACTTTAAAAAAAATTCTAAAGTTTGAACTTTTTTTTTTTTAAATTTGTTAATTTCTCTTCTTCTTTTTGAATGAAAATGTCATTGAATATTAAACATTTTGTGAATTGCACTAAAATAATAAGTTAGAAAGCGATTAACTGTTTAAAATGCTTAATTACTTAAGTAATTAAAACACTGCAGTAAATGAGTTGGATAATACTTAAAACTAAGATTTCAATAACTGTTTTTCAAAGTTTTCACTTGCACAGATCTAATTTCGTTTCACGTGGGTTAGTTGTTTTATGGTTGCTTTTGTTTAGATTTCTTACTCGAAGGAACTTTATTAAGTTTTTTATGTTGTTTTTTTTTAATCTTTAT